GACCGGATCAGAGTCTAGAGACCAGAGACCGGATCAGAGTCTAGAGATCAGAGACCGGATCAGAGTCTAGAGACCAGAGACCGGATCAGAGTCTAGAGACCAGAGACCGGATCAGAGTCTAGAGACCAGAGACCGGATCAGAGTCTAGAGACCAGAGACCGGATCAGAGTCTAGAGTCTAGAGACCGGGTCAGGGTCCAGAGACCGGGTGAGAGTCCAGAGACCGGGTGAGAGTCCAGAGACCGGGTGAGAGTCCAGAGACCAGCTCAGAGTCTAAGTCAGAGTCCAAAGGGAGTCAGAGTCCAGGTCCACTGGTTCTCCTGTGATTTTGTGGTTCTGATGGTCCTGTGGTTCTGTGGATTTGTGGTTCTGATGGTCCTGATGGTATCCTCCTGCAGGGACGGGCGTCTTCAGGAACGGGACCAGATCCTGGTCATAAACGGGAGGCCTCTGGAACCCGGGTTCAGCCAGCAGCAGGCCCTGAGCCTCCTGCAGCAGCCCGGAGACACCATGGACCTGGTGGTGGCCCGGGACCGCCCCTTTGATGCCCCGCCCCCTCTGGCCCCGCCCACCAGCACGGTAAGGCTACAGAGTGTACAGCAGCTGTCTGTTAGTAAAACAGGTCATGGTGCAGTGGACTTTATGGACCTGGATCCTGAAGCTGGTCTGGTTTTACCCATCATGGCKACGCACACACAAGTGAATGTGTTGTGTGTTTTCTGGTGGCGCTGCAGGACCAGTGGGGTCAAGTGGAGGAGATCGAGCTGGTCAACGATGGATCAGGTCTGGGTTTTGGTATCGTGGGTGGGAAGAGCGGCGTGGTGGTCCGGACCTTGATCCCGGACAGCGTGGCTGACAGGGTAAGTCTCAGACAGGAAACGTCTTCCTGCTGTTGCTTCTTAACTTCTGATTGGCTGTCCAATCAGGACGGACGGCTCCGCACAGGTGACCACATCCTGCGGATTGGGGCCACGCCCACCAGCGGCCTCTCCAGTGACCAGGTGGTCAAGGTGCTGCAGGGCTGTGGAAGTCACGTGACCATGCTCATTGCCAGAGATGTCCAAGGTCAGATGTCAGCAGCCCCGCCTCCCCCACCTCCTCCTGACTCCGCCCCCATTGCCTCGATACCCGCTCATCCTGCTGATGTTGCTGTCCCACACCTGGTCAGCAAGACGGTGAGCAGTGTGTTTACCTGGTTGTCATGGCGACATTGTAATATTTGTCTTTATTCAGTTTGTTTTTATTTGTTTCAGCCGAACCTGGAAGGATACGAGATCCACGAGGTTTCCCTGTCCAAGAAGGACGGCCAGAGTCTCGGCATCTCCATCATTGGCTTCAACCCTCTGACCAGCCAAGGTACCGAGATTATATGCGGAACGTACACAGATTATACCCAGATTATACTCAAGATTATGCCCAGATTATACACAAATTAAACCCAGATTTTACGCATATTGTACCCACATTATAACCAGATTATACCCACYTTATAACCAGATTATACCCACATTATAACCAGATTATACTCAGATAATACCCAGATTATAAACAAGATAGACCCACATTATAACCAGATTATATGCAGATTATACTCAGAATATACCCAGATTATACTCAGATTATACAAAAATTAGACCCACATTATAACCAGATTATACACAAATTAGACCCACATAATAACCAGATTATATGCATATTATACTCAGAAAAAACTCAGTATATACCCAAATTATACCAAAAGTAGACTCAGATTATACCCAGATTTTAACCAGATTATACTCTGATAATATCCAGATTGTACTCAGATTATACCCAGATCATACTCAGATTATACCCAGATTATAAATAAATTAGACCCAGATTATACCCAAATTAGACCCACATTATAACCAGATTATATACAGATTATACTCAGAATATACCCAGATTATACTCAAATTATACCCAGATTATACACAAATTAGACCCACATTATAGCCAGATTATATGCATATTATACTCAGAAAAAATTCAGTATATACCCAAATTATACCAAAATTAGACTCAGATTATATGCAGATTATTCTCAGATCATACTCAAAATGTACCCAGATTATACCAAAATTAGATTCAGATTATATGCAGATTATACCCAGATTATACCAGATCATATGCAGATTATACTCAGAATATTCTCAAAATATTTGCAGAATATATGCAGATCAGGCCCAAATCAGAATACACGCGAAATATATGCAGAATATACACAGATTATACTCAGATTATGCTCAGATTATACCCAGATTATAAATAAATCCAGATTTTACGCATATTATACCCAGATTATAKCCAGATTATACCCAAAATTAGACCCACTTTATAACCAGATTATATGCAGATTATACCCAGATTATAGTCGGAATAAACTCAAAATATRTGCAGAATATACGCAGATTATACCCAAATCAGAATCAGATTATACGCAGAATATACACTGAATATATGCAGCATATACCCAGATTATACGCAGAATATACTAAAAATATATGCAGAATATACYCAGAATATACTAAAAATAGGGCGGCACGGTGGCTCAGTTGGTAGAGCTGATGCCTCTCAGCAAGAAGGTCACCGGTTCAAATCCCGGTCCGGGGACCTTTCTGGGTAGAGTTTGCATGTTCTCTCCGTGCATGCGTGGGTTCTCTCCGTGTACTCCGGCTTCCTCCCACAGACCGACAGACACACTGACAAACTGTTAGGTTAATTGATAACTCTAAATTGTCCCTAGGTGTGAGTGAGAGAGTGAATGGTTG